GTGATTGCAATTAGACTGCTCTTAAAAGGACTTAGGGCTCAAAGCAGGTCAGCTCTACTAGATAGTTTAGCTAAGCTGTTGTTTGGGGTTCAGAAGAGTGCAGTTGGGGGTGGATGGGAGAGGAATTTTTGGTACATATTTACACATTATACTCAGGCACTAGTGTCAGAGGTTTTCCCGCCCTCTGTGTTTCCAGAAAGTCTGGAAACCATGGGAATTTGAAATTCTATTCCCCACCTTTGATCAAGATTTTTCTGTGGACTTTTCATCAAACTGTTTGGTAGTTGTGGTCAGGCACCTCTCAGTTCTTTTGGGGTCATGGCATGCCACCCCTTTCATTCCCTCAGTCTACGTTGATTAGTTTTGCTTTATTTAATGACTCCTCACAGGCTTTCTCGCATAAAAAGTTTAGCAGATTTTGAAAAGATTTGTACTTTCATTTTTAATTAAAGGCTGCTTCGTTTTAATTCAGTGTTATTCCAATAGTTGGCCAGGAGAGGGAGCGTATGGATATCTGATTTAATATACCTCTGAATTAAGTATCCCATTTGGAATAATATTTTAAATTAATTTGATTACAATCATTTAGTATTTGCTTGCTAATTCATTTTATGAACCATTTGAGCCCTGAACATGTTATAGGTATTCAGGAAGCTTTACCATTATCAATTCATAATATGGTTAATTTTTTAAAACATAGTCAATCACTGAATATGTACTGAGGGTTTGAGGAAAGCAGGGCACTGTGTGAGGTGTGGGGGATGCGGAAGGCCTTGCCCCCCAGAACACTTTGAGAATGCTTAACACAGCAGGGGTGTCCTTGAAGGGGTGGGGGCGGGGCATGGGTTTTAGTTTTCTGTTATCAAGCTGTCAGTGAGGAGATCAGACTTAGAATTAAGGTTGGGAATGACTCTGGAGATGGCTCCTCTTTTCCCAGACAGGGAAAGCGGAGCCCCAGAAAGGCTAATTACAACTCTGTTGAAACATAAACATTCGTGAGTTACACTCTGAGAAAAAGTTTAAAATTGTTTAATATAAGGTTTGCAGGTCACAGAATTATTTTTGGGGGCGAACAGGCAATCTCTTGAATGGTCAAGTACTTCACTTGCAAGATCTCATTTGCCCTTTTCTTTTTTTTT